GGCTCTCTGCAACCTGCTTGGGGCCTAGAGGAACCACAGTGCCTCTGGGCCTCTCCGTCTGACAGTGCAGTGCACCTTGCTTCCGCTTTCCACAAACAACCCTGGTGAAAACCGATGGGGTTTTATTATGATTATTTCTAAGAAGGCTGATGGATCAGGAACAGGACTGGTTCCCTTGAGAAAGAGAGACCGTGGGGTGGGGAGTGGCTTGTTTAAGATTGAGGAACAGCCCCTCTGGCCCAGAGGCAGTGGGGGTGGGGTGGGTCCACAGAGAGAACCCACCTTTTGTTTAGTTCTGCACCCACCGTGGGGGAGGGGGATTAACTGTTGAGTAGTGGGGTGTTGACACCCCACACACCACCCTTGCCCTGGGATCAGCCTCTTCTGGGAGGTGGTTGACCCGTGTGGAGCCTGGTGGGCTCTGTGAAGATATGCTGGCTGCTAGAGGGTGCCTGGAGAGAGTGACTGGGCTTGGGTTGGGGGACAGGGACAGGAGAAGCTGCCCACCGCGGGCAACGTCGTCACCATTGTCAGCTCCTTGGACAATGTCTGAGCCTTTGCCTCCTGCTTCCTGTGAAGCAGCAATGGTAGGAAGCCAGCCAGAATGTGAGGGGGAATCAGCGTGAGTGCCGACTGATCAACACGGCAGCTGCGCTGGCTCAAGGACGTTCTTGAATTTTCTTCCTGGCCTGTCTTCTGGAACAAGATGGGTGTCTGTCCGTCTATGGACCCTTGATTCCTTTCCTCTCTTCTCTTAGTGATGGGGATGGAGCTCCCGGTTCTGGGGGGATGGCAGGGGCTCCACGCTGGGCTTCGATGCCCTGTCGCTCTGCCTGTGCATCTGACTGGAGAGGTTGACTTGGCCTGTGCGCCAGAGGGGTTGGTTGCCATGGTGACACGTTCTTCCGGTGATGCTGGAAATGCAGTGACAGGAGAAAGGGGAGAAGAATGTACAATATTTTGACTTTGTATCGACTGAATTTTAATTGCGGCCCCAGGGCAGGGACAGGGCCCAGCAGGGGGATTGAGTGCTTAGCTACCTGCCGGTGCCATGACATTGTACCTCACGCGGACTAATGGCAGCACTGATCCCCATTGCCCCCAGGACAGCGCTCACTGTCCGCTTCCACCACCCAGTTACCACGGCCGCCCTGGCCGCTTGACATCCTTGTTAGGTATTATTGAGATAGATGGCACGCCTACCTTACGCATCTCGAGGGACATAAGGTCAGTCCCTTCATCTTTCAACCTCAAAACACGAGCCCTGTACCACCCATCTTCCTTCGCTAAGCAGGAGTCCCTGAGTTTGGGGAACCAGGACCATTTCTTGGGCTGTACCTGGTGGTCACTGCTCACATAAGGAGCCTTATTTCTGGGCTGAATCGCTGCTCTTCCTAGGGGAATAGGTGTTTTTTTTTCTTTCACTTTTTAAAACACGAAAAAAGGAAACAGGCATCTCCATGTTCACAGGGAAAGAGGCTGACACGAGTCGTTTTTAGCCTTGAAAGCTATCTTGCTCCTGGTCCTTTTGGAAGCATGTTGTTCAGTGAAAATTCCAGGGGCACATGCGCTGTCGGGCCAGGGGAAGTGGGAGAGAACCAGGAAGACTTGAAAGCCTGTCTTGATGATGGGAACATGTGAGGTCGAGCTCGGGGACCACGTGGCCCAAGAAAACTCCATCATTTGTTAACTCAGCGTGCATTTTAAAATCCAGCTAAACCCCATCATTCACACGAAAGCGGAAGTCAAATCTGTGTCTGACTTGAAAAGAAAGGCTTTGCCTTCCTGTTCCTCAGCGCGCTGGTACAATGGGGGTATCTGAGCTTGTGGTCAGGGGCTCTCGGGTCAGTCCCCACTCGTGTCTAACAGAAGGAAGCACTGCTGGGTGGTCCTGCGCCATCCTCACAATGGTGACATTGGAGCCCACTGTTGCAGCTCCTGTGTCCACCCATCTCCCCGAGGGTCTTCCTTTTTTCCCTGCTGACCTTCTTCTGTATCTAGCTGGATGCCATCCTGGCTGTTATGGATTTACTGGTTTGCCACGTTGGACTATAAGCTCTTGGGGGGCCTGGGAGATGGTTTTTTAGTCTAGTGCTTTTCCCAGCTGCTAAGTCCGTGGGAAATCTCTTGTTCAAATTAGGGTCGTCAAAGGGCATCCATCAAGAGCGTATTCTGATCATAGTGGTGTTGACCCAGGACTCCAGCAGAAGATGAGTGAGAGTCTGAGACCAGAAAGCTGAGCCGGCGAGGCTCTCAGATGCGGCTGCTGTTGTAACCGATGCTGTGTCGTAAAGCCAGAGGAAGGATTTTTGTTCAGCAGTGTTATTAGCACTTAAACGCACATGTCCTCCAATTCGTTAATTCAGCCATATCAAGAAGAGTTGTACAACTGTCACCGCATACCATTCTAGAACATGCTCGTCTCCCTTGTGGTCATTGTTGTTCTTGTAATTATTATTTTTTCTAATTGTGGCAAAAATACACACAACAGAACATTCTCCAATTCCACAACTTATACTTGCATAATTCAGTGTCATGGATTGCACTCTTCGTGTTGTACAGCCATTAATGATATCCTTTCCCAAATTATGCCACCACCATCGACATAAACTCAAAGCCTCTACACACTAAACTCTTTCCCCTTCACCTATGATAACCATTGGCCAAGTTTGGCTTCCTTTTCTTTTCTTTCTTTCTTCCCCTGCCCCATGTTTTTCTTGATATAGTATTCACATATCATACACTTCCATGGTTACATCGCTTTTAAAATGAGTTGTATATACATAAACATAATCGGTTCTAGTGTTCCCTCACTCCTCCCATTCATTGTTTGCTCCTCAAATCCCCTCATCCTTCCCATATTCCCCCCCACCCTCCACTCCCACATCTCCAATAAACCATTGTATCAGTTATTATCTCTATGCATCTACTCCTTCTGTGCTTCACAAACTGGGAAACCCAATGGAAACAATAAAAAACAAAATGAAGTGGTAAGGATGAACTAATAATATAAAGATAAGAACACAAATAGTGAGTAAGAAAGAAAAGGCCACCATCGATATTTAAAAAGCCAGGGAAGGCATTATTTTTGTCATGGAACAAGCAAGAAATACTTAAGCCTAGAACAAATTCACATTTGGTCAAGAGGGAGGTCTACTGACCAAGTATCAAGTTCGATCCAGCTCCCTGTCTGATAGTAAAGCTGTTTGAGACCCTTGCCTGTGGCTAGAGGGGATCTGCCAGAGGCTCCATCTGACTAGATGCTCTGCAGATGGATTTGGGGCTCCTACTG